ACAGCGCCGGGGCGCAGCCCGCACTCGGCAAGGCAGCCGGGGAGCACGCGTGAGGGGATGCTCCGGGCGCCAGACCCTCACGCTGGAGGGCGAGGGAGGCGGGTGGAGCGGGAGCAAAGAAACCGCTGGATCCAGGCGGAGATCTTGGGGACGTCGGAGAGGAAAGGCACTCACCTGAGCATTGCAGAGCCACAATTTGACCTGATTCACAGCTGCTCCTGCACGGGAATGAGCCTCTGGTCAGAATACACATGAACCAAAATCCCTGGAGCGCTAGGGAGCTCCAGGGCAGCTGCGGCAGCCCCCAAAGGAGCTGCTTACTGCACAAAACCGGGACAGTTTTCTATGTTCTTAAGCCTGAAAAAAAGGCCTCTGTTTCAGCCCCACCAGCAAACTCTGTTCCCTCCAGAGCTGCCCTTACCTGACCTGCCACATCTCTTCCAGGCTGCCTTCCTGGTGGGGTCTCACCTGAAGGAACTCCTGCGTGTCATTCACCTTGACATCCGTCAGGTTCACTCCTTTCTGATGGGTCATTCTGCAGAAGCAACAGTGAGTGTCCCAGGAAGGGGTTGGGGACCTGCTAGGGGACCAGGAATGTAACCCTGCCATGGGAACAACCGTCCACAGTCCTGCCGCCCTGGCAGCCAGGAATGGATCTCCTGGGCAGGAGGGATCTCCTGCAGCTCCTCTGGCAGGTCCCCCCGTGCCAGCCCGAGCCCGGCTTTCCGCCCTGCGCTCACCAGGGAGCGTTGTGATCTGGCACTGCTGCCCTGACAAACCTCCCAGCCTTCAAGCACCTGCTTTTGCCGAGATCGTCCCCCTCAGAAAAGGGCGAGTAGGGTTCGAAGAAGCGGCTGACCTGAGATACCCGAGCTGCTGGCAGAGCAGGGTGCCCAGGGAGAGACTCCAGCGCTCGTGGCATGCCAGGAGCCAGCCAGGACGGCCTTCCACCTGCGCTTCCAGCAAGGAGTTTGCCATGTTTATTCTGAAAGACACTAAAGCCATCGCATTAACGACAACCTGCAGGTTCCCTTCCTTGCAACGCGTTGTGCAGGGCCAGCACTGTGGATGGTCATGCACATCTAAAGCAAAAAGAAAAAACCCACATAAAAAACCCAAACCAAAACAAATCAAACCCCAGAAAAAGCCATGTGAAGCAATTAGAAACCATACATGAACCTGTTTGCATATTCTCAGTGCCCATGTGGCAGCTCGATCGAGTGATTACATGCAAAGGGGTCCTGTGAGAGTTGCCTGTGCCAAGGATCACTCCATGCAATGAAGCCATAACGCTGGGCACTGCAGCAGGACTTAAAGTGAAACAACCGCAAAATGCAGCTGAAAGAGGCTAGTGGGTCAGCAGGAGATACTTCGTATTAAAGAGCATCTTTTCTGTCCTGCACACTGCTCCCCTCTTGCTGGGCTTGGCAGGCACTGTCCTGCACACTGCTCCCCTCTCCCCATCCTCTGTGGCAGCAGAGATGTAAACCTCTGTTGGGAGCCCCGCGGACCACAGGGTCTTCCTCTTCACTGTCACTGCACGCTGGGATCGCATCTGGCTCCTGCAGCAAGGCGAAGCCCTGGGCTGGCTGAGGCTTCTTCAGGTGTTTCGCTTCAGGAAACAGAGAAGGGGGTGGAAGTGGACTCACACAGCCTGGGCAGCATCCGAAGATGCACGATATTGGGAATGATCCTGCACTGCCCTGCCCGCTGGAAGAGGTGATGAGCCTCCCAGTGAGCACAGCTGCAGCTTGCTGCTGGGGCCACAGCAACCAGCAGCAAAGCCCCCACCGGCCACGTCCCCCCATCCCAAGCCACACCTCACCGACCAAGGAGCTCCCATCACCAC